ATAATAATAATAATAAATTTTAATTAAAAAGAATGGACCAAGCCGGGTGTGGTGGCATACACCTTTAATCCCAGCACTCGGGAGGCAAAGAAAGGTGGATCTCTGTGAGTTCAAGGCCAGCCTAGTTTACATAGTGAGCGCTAGGCTAGCTGAGGCTACAGGGAGACCCTGTCTCAAAAAGAAAAAAAAAAAAAAAAAAAAGAATGGACCAAGAACAAAGTCAGATGCCTGTACTTGAATCCTTGAATCAAGGAGCCATGCTCAGTGCCTGTTTTTCTAGGGGATACCTCCCCACACCCACAGACGGATTTAGGTACTCACTGATACAACATGATATTTGATTTCTGCTGCTGATCTATGATCTCATCAGGGACTGCAGGCTTGATAATGGAGCGTCGACCAAGGGTATCCTGAAGGACCGTCATCAGCTCTGGGCTGGCTGCCTCCTTGTCTCCCTCGATCACTCCTATTTCAGCACGGCCCCCTCGCTCCCTGTCCCGAATGTCCTTTGCCAGAAGCATAGCCTGCCAAAGAAGCCCATGGAAGCACTCAATTCACTCAACACCCATTTCTTCCTGATGGCTTTGGTGGCAACAGTCAGGATTCTAGATAAGAGTTACCCTGAGCCGGGCGTGGTGGCGCACGCCTTTAATCCCAGCACTTGGGAGGCAGAGGCAGGCAGATCTTTGTGAGTTTGAGGCCAGCCTGGTCTACATAGTGAGTTCCAGGACAGCTGGGGCTACAGGGAGACCCTGTCTCAAAAAGACAAACAAACAACAAAAAAGGAGTTACTCCGACACTGAGGAGCCCTGGGGTGAGTCATGCCCTTGACTTGTCTGTGAAACAGAGTCTACTCTAAGGCAGGGGTCTACTTGGGAGATCAGTCATCATGGAAAGAAAAGGGAGAAGGCACGCAGAAGAGGAGCCCAGCTCCGTGACCAGATCTGAGGTGTGTTTGTGTGGTGACTCTGAGCTGAGAAAGAGCCAGACCTTGAGGCGCTCGCCACTGTTGCTCTCTGGGCCATTCCACTGGATGAGAACCTTCCCAAGGTCCAGCAAGAAGACATCACCTCGGTTAAAACTGTCCCAGCTTACTTCCACCTGCAAATGAGAGGTCACTGCTGTTCAGGGGGTTCTGTAGGTACTGGGGTAGGAGGGCTAGCCCAGGACAGTCAATGGGCGGGACTTACCTCCGTGGCGCTGATGTTTCTCTTCCCCTTCACATGCAGCAACCGCTTCACGTCATAGGTGTTGGTCTCCATGTGTTTCATCCCAGAGGCTATACCTCCCTTTTTATAACTGAGGGAACATGATCCAGTTATTTGTTGGGCACCTGCTATGTGCTAGGTCCTAGGGAGTTCTTGAGAATTACATACAATAATTACATACAGACATCAGTCTCAGCCCATGTGGGTTATGACAAGGAATGAATAAAATATAAGTGCAGACACTGTGCTGCTGTCCCAGAAGTCGTTTCAGTGACTAGAGGCCAGGGCCATCTTCGCTAAAAGGACATTTGAGCTGAGATACAATGAGTAGTCAGCAACAACCAGAGGAGTAGTGTTCCAGCAGAGGCAACCCGGGTGGTACAGACCCTGTTGTATGGAAGGGCTTATTTTGTAAGTACCTGAATACTGGTGTGCAATGGGAAGAGGGCGCGAGTTGGGCAGAGGCAAAACCATTCAGAACAGACACCATGGCCTTTAGACCATCTACCCCAGGAATTAAGCCTTCTTTCTCCCAGCATGAAACCAGTCATCATTATTTATTTATTTGTTTATCTATCTATCTATCTATCTATCTATCTATCTATCTATCTATCTATCTATCATCTATCTATCTATCTATCTATCTGTCATCTATCATCTATCTATCATCTATCTATTATTTATTTATTTGTGTGAGTGTTTTGCTTGCATGTATGTAAGTGTACCACATGTGTACAATGCCTGTTGAGGCCAGAGAAGGGTGTCGGATTCCCTGGAACTGGAGTTACAGAGGGTTGTTAGCTGCCATATGAGTGCTGGGAACTGAACTGGGGTCCTCTGCAAGAGCAGCCAGTGCTCTTAACCCCTGAACCATCTCTTCAGGCCCTAGTTATCTTACACTTTAAGGAGCTGCCCCAGGCAATATTGGAGTAAAGGGGCTGGTCTTTAAGTTCCTTGGTGACTCAGTGTAGTGCTGTGTCCTACAGGACTTCAGTAAAGAGTACTGACCTATGAGAAACTGGCCTCAACCTCTGGCCCAGCTCAGAATTCTGGAATTCACAGGAATTCTATTTGCTAGGTTTTTTCCCCTTGTTTTGCCTTTTAAAGCCCAGGCTGGTTCTCAAGCTTGGTACATAGCCAAGAATGACCTAGAGCCTCTGACCCTCCTACTTCCACCTCCCAAATTGGGATCACAGGTGTGCCACCATACCCCTTTCATGTTAAATGTCTATGTGTTCCATTTTATCCATGTGCCCACTCCCACTTCTCTCTGCCACATCTTCCATTCTGACAGTTTAACATCCCTCATTCTAGTAAAACGTGTCCTAATGCTTATGTATATAGTTTTGATAAAACGGAAGTTGGCATTCTGTTATGTATCTCAGTGTGTGACTTTGTTAACTAGGCACCATGTCTTTGAGAGGTGTTCATGTGTGCTAGGTTTGTGTTTAATCTGTTGCTGCCAGTGCACATGTTTTTTGTGTTTTTTTGTTTTGAGACAGATCCCCCTGTAGCCTCAGCTGGCCTGGAAGTCACTATGTAGACCAGGCTGGCCTCTGTCTCACAGACATCCACCTGCCTCTGCTTCCTCAGTGCTGGGACTAAAGTCATGTGCCACCATGCCCAGCTTCAGTGTACCTCTTATCTCTATGATAAGCACCTATGCTCCCCACAACTTCCTATCACCAGAAATGCACTGTCGAGAACTGTCTGGTTCATGAGTCCTTATAGATCTAGGTATGCGAGGATCTTTTTGAGTTATGCATTGAGAAATAGGATTCACCTTAGTGGCACCAGTTACCCTTTGGAATGCAGTGGAGTCCACATTCCCACTGCAGCTGTGAGGCTCTGGTTCTCTATAGTCTGTCTAGCACTTGGCACCACCCCACTCTAATTTGTGCTACTCTGATGGGTGAAAGTGATAGCTTTGCTTTGCATCTCTTGAGTTACCTCTTCATGTGTGTACTGAGCCTTGGGGTTTCCTCTTCTGTAAACTGCATATCTGTCCCTGCTCTGTGTATCACTACTCACATGATGCCCTGCTTGAAGTAGCCACGGAAGGTATCTGACTCGTGATACTGGACCTCTCGATGTTGCACAGGACTGCCTCCAAGGTAGTCATCCAGCTGTGTGGTGTAGATGGCTGCACAGCTCTGCTCATCCTGAGATGAGTCCTTCCCGATCCAAAAATGGATGTTCTGGGAGAGAAGACTGCCTGCTTTCCGGGTCTAGGAGGTAGCCAGAGAGGTCAGGTCAGAGCCCAGCTCACCTCTGTTTTGCTGATGACCTCTCTGGTGTGGGAAGATCGCAGCATGCAATAGCTTATGCCCTGCTCTACAGGGTTACAGGACAAGACCCTGTCTTATAAGTAGACTTCTGGGCTTTTTTCTATCCCTAGAGTGGGTACCAGCATTGCCTTGACCCATTTGTAGACCTGCTATTGAGGCTCAAGCTTTGGCCCAATTCCTTCCCATATTTGGGGAAGTTGACCGTTCATTGTTCCAAAAATAAGTGGGGTATCTTTCTCCAGCTGGACTGCACGCTGAATTTACAGGTCCCCAGCACACACACGGCTGTCAGCACTATGGTGTGGCTACTGTTTCCTTCATTAGAAGAAGCACTCTTTTTTTCCCCCCCAGTTTGGTGTTTTAAAATATTTTTTAAAAATATTTAATTTTTTATTTTTATTTTATGTGTATGCGTGCATTGCCTGTGTGTAGGTAAGTGCACCTGTGTGGTGCAATGCCTGCGGAGGACAGAAGAGGCTGTCGGATCCCCTGGAACTGGAGTTATTGATGGTTGTTAGCTGCCATGTGGGTGCTGGGAATTGTACCCAGGTCCTCTGCAAGAGCAGCCAGTGCTCTTTACCACTGAGCCATCTCTCCAGCCCCAAAGTTTGTTTGTTTTTTTTGAGACAGGGTCTTATGTAGCCTAGGCTGACCTCAAACTTGCTGAAGCTGGCCTTGAACTACTGATCCTTCTGCCCCTACCTCTCAAGTGCTGGGATTATAGGTGTGAACAAGTTCCATACTTTTTTTGGTTTTTGGAGACAAGGTCTTTCCTTTTAGCCAAGGCTGGCCTGGAACTTACTATGTGGCCCAGGATGGTCTTGAAATTGTGATCCTCTTCCCCAGCCTCCTGAGTGCTGTGATTATGGGCATGTACCATCACACCTGGCTTTCAATGAGTACTTTGAAGCCAGAGACAGGTTTTGTATTTGTCTGGCCTTCCTTCACACCACTTTAGTGAGAAGTGCTGCTGGGGGCAGCTTGTGGTGGTTCAGACACTCTCTGGTGCAAAATTCTGGAGGCCTACTCTGCATGCCTTGAGAAAGAATGGAGGCAGGTACCAGGAACCCCACTTCTTTCCTCACCAGCAGAGCCTTCAACAATCTGGGAACTGGCTATTGGGGAAGGAACTCTGGGAAGTGTGGAGGACGGCACTCACCGAGAGGATGATGTAGCAGTCTCCTTCGTAGAAGCTGCCATGGGCACTCAGGGGCACCAGCGCCAGCTCCATTTTCTAGGACAGGTGTATATACAGCTGTGCTTCCTCTGTCCTCCCTTCCCCACAGTCTTCCTCTCCCCTGTCACCTGGCACAGGTGGTAAAAGAGATGGCCCCCCCACCCCCTGCCAACAGGGCAGGTGCCCGGCACAGGATTCATATGGCTACCACTGTGGTTTCTGGGAGTTCTGTCTGAATCTGTTCTGGTGTCCCTCCCTCTGTGGCCTCCCCATGTTCTGCTTGGTCTCCTGTGCTCTGGAAAGTCTTGTGAGCCCCCTGTAGCCTGAGACCTGGGAAAGAGCTGGATGTAACTACCAGGTAAAAAACCTCCTCCGGGCATTCCTGCCAGTACATCTGCCCTTTGCTCCCAACGCCGACCACCTAGAGCCACCAGGTTGTCCTGAAGGAAGACTGGGAGCCTGTGCAGGAGATGAAGCTGAGGGCATAGAGCATGCCATCAGTACACAGGACTCCATGCTGAGTGGCCCATATTCAGAGTCTGGGTTGAGATCCTGATTAGTCACTGCTCTGTCCAGGAGGGCCATTCACATGGCCTCAGATATAAATTACCCTTTTAAAAAAATATTTTATTTATTATTTTTATTTTATGTGTATGAGTGTATTGCCTTCATGTATGTGAGTGCACCCGTGTTGTGCAATGCTGTGGATGTCAGAAGAGGGCTTCGGACTCCCCTGGAACTGGAGTTAAGGACGATTTGTAGCCGCCATGTGGGTGCTGGGAATCCAACCTGGGTCCTCTGCAAGAGCACTCAGTGCTCTTAACCACTGAGCCATCATCTCTCCAGCCCCCAGATGTAAATCACCTTTACTCTTTCCAAGTGAGGTATGCCTGCAGCCCTACTTGTGTGTGCTCTATGCAAAATGTGGATGCTAAATGTGAAAAAGTTAAATATACAGTTTTCAGAAGCCCATTTTAGTACCTATTCATAAATTAAAAAAATATTTTATAATGTTTTATTTCATGTGTTATGAGTGTATTGCCTGAATATGTAAGTGCACCTGTATCGTGCAATGCCTAGAAGAGGGCATCAGATTCCCTGGAACTGGAGTTACAAACAGCTGTTAGCCCCCATGCGGGTGCTGGGAATTGAACACAGGTCTTCTGTGAGAGCAGTCAGTGCTCTTAACTGCTGAGTCATATCTCCAGCCCCTCATAATTTTTTTACATTTATTTATTGGATGTGCAACAGCGTGCCTGTGGAGGTCAAAGGAAAGCTTAAAGGAGTCGGTTCTTTCCTTCAGCCAGGAGGGGTCTGGGGATTGAACTCAGGTCATCAGGCTTGGCTGCATACACTTTCACCCACTGAGCCATCTTGCCAGCCCTTCCTATTCATTTTTAAGTAAATAGGAGAGTGGCCTGGGCTTTTCACAAGCCTTGAGATGCTTTCCAGGAAGCTGTGAGTCACACTTCAGAACTGAGGAGTGTGAAGGGAGGTGTCTCCTGTGGGGTTTATATAGCAGCAACTGACGAGGTAGACTATGGTGCATGGGGGGGGCATCTTGATATCTGGTGGGTGCACCCAGGCGAGAGTTCAGAGCTCAGAGCCACCCAGAGGGGACCAAGCCCAGGGGGTGAAAGGATGAACAACGCCCATCTCTGCAGCACCCTACTTTTAGGAATTGGTGTTATGAAAATGATACGTTCCATTTCTCTGACCAATAGCCAGGAATCTCCTGGGAGAAGACCCATTTCCAAGACATTTATGCAAGTGAAAACTCACTGAGCAGACGGCTGGATAAAGGACAAGCTTAGTTTTGCTTGGGGCCCAGCCTGCCAAGTTTTAAGTAGTGGGAGGAAGAAGGTTGGGAAAACTTGCACTTTGATTCTGCCCTTTACTAGCCATGGGTTCAGATCCCAGCAGCCAGGGACGGGTAAGCCTCCTGCCCAGCTCACCTCAATTCTCCAGGTGATGATCCCGGGGTCATTGCCCACAGCCTTGAAGGCACTGCTCAGAGACATAGCGCTTGTCTTCCAGGAACTGAAACATCACAGAGCCAGAGGTGATGCCCCTCACAGGGCACAGGGACCCACAGCTTCTGCTAAGACCCTTCCCAATCTCATTAACCTTCCTGCTGTGTATCTTTTTGGTGTATCTCCCCCTCACACCCCATTTGCTGTGGTAGTTTAAGTTCACAAGATGACCTGCCTGGGCTGTCCTCACCCCCAAGTTTTGTTTCCCACCCATTGCTTCCTTGGTTAAGAACCCTGGTAATATCAAGGCATGTTTCTTTTTCCTTCCTTTTAGAAAAAGTGTGTGTGTGTTATGTGCATGTGTCCTGGGAAGACAGAGCTGTTGGAGCCCCTGGAGCTGGAGTTACAGGTGATGGTGAGCAGCCCAACCTGGGTACTTGGAATAGAACTTGGGACCTCTGGAAGAGCAGTATGTGTTCTTAACCACTGAGCCATCTCTCTAGCCCCTACGATGACTATTTCCTAAGGGTGGTAAATGTTAAACTTCATTGATTCACTTTGCATACATTATTACCTCATTTAATTCTCGGGCGGTGCTCATATTTTCTTCAGGTTACCTTCCTGAGGCTTGGAGGTAAATAACATGCTTAAGGCACCCACCAGAATGGGATCCATATTTGATCTTTTCAAGTTCATTTTATTTTTATTAACTTGGGGCCTAGCCACATAGCCTAGGTTGGCCTCAAATTCCGTTTGCCTCTGTCTCTTGAGTGCTGGGATTTCTGGCTTGCACCACCAGACCCAGTTCCATATCTTTTTTTCCTATCTGATCTTAAAATCCTGTGCTTTTTGCCATTTTTGCATAGTGCCACCCTTCTTAAAATTGTCTAAGCTCAGCAGTTCATGGAGAAGAAATCCAGTCAGAAAAAGTATTTCCCAACAGTCACCTTCATTCACTCTGAGTCCTTGCTCTTCCTAGATTCCCTGGAGAGATCCTCTCCCGTCATCTTACCTGTTTTTTTTGTTGTGTGGGTTTTTCGTTTTTTTTTTTTTTTTTTTTTTTGTAAATTGTCCTAAACCTGTAACAATCCTTCTTACATTTATCATGATGAATATATTCCCTGGTCTTACAGAAAAAAAGGAGACTATAAATGACAGGACCTGGGACAAAGGGCTCAGGGCTGCCAGCGGAGTGTGGGGGGGGTAGGTGTGGCCTGGTCTTGCATGTGGGCAGATGGCTTCCTTGTCCCACCCACACAGATCCAGACTTCTCTGGAAGACTTGCCCTCAGAGAACTTAAGGGGTCTCCAGATTCCACAGGGTGGAATTAGGCAGGCTGAGGAGGGAAGGAGAGGTAAGACGACCCTGGGATCTTGTACTTTCTATAGTCAAAGTGTGGCTTGGGTTATTCAACACCAGTACATGTTCAAGGTCCCAGAGAAGCTTTGTATACGTCTCCCTCAATCAGACCTACTCTTGGGAGCTTGCAATCTGACACATACCTAATGAAGCTAAGTTAGTTTCTCCAGAGGCAAAGAAATAGGGTGGATGGATTCATACACGATTAAGAAAAACAAAATTTCCAAAAAGAAAAGAAAAACAAAATCACCTAGTGTGGAGCTTATAGATTTTTGTTATTTGGGCTACTGGTAGATTTGATATCCCCAGCACTGCCCCACCCCTTTAAAAAAGGAGCACATCTGATCATTCTTTTCTCGAGGAAACCAGGTTTGGACAGTATATGCCATTTTCTCTTTCAGAGTTCAGCAAAACAAAATAAAAAACCACCGAAGAGCCAAGTCCCTTTGTGTACTGGCCTACAGCAGAGCTATGATGTGGAACTGCCTGTGTTTGAGGATTTAATTTGATAACTTGTGCTGCCCCACCCTTTGCTACTCAGAATTGCCGGGAAATAATTGTTCATGTTTTCTTTAGACCCTAGTTTTCAGTCATTCAAGTCAAATGCATGACCCAATTCAGGGAAGGGGACCAGGGCCAATGAATTCTGGTAAAACCAAACTAACTGGCATTAGCCAGTGAGTCTCAGAGCCCCAACATGGCAGTCTCATTTGTCAACAGGGACTCTTGTTTTCGCTGTTTTAAAGGAGCTCACTGGGCCAGGGACCCAAATGCATGAACTTGCTAGAAAACCCATTTCCACCCATAATATCAAAGTCCCTCATAGCTGAGTCCTGGTCTCTCTCCCTAAGTCCTTATCAGGTCCTGAGAGGGCGGCAGAGATTCTGAGTTTGGGATGCCCTTTGGGGATTACAGGTTAAGTCAGTGGTTTGTAATCTCGGAGGTGCCCCTACAGATGGAGCCCAAGCAGAAGAGAATGGTTTAAACTTCTCTGTTGCCTCGTGTCCAGGGAGGAACAGATGAGAGGTGTCCCACCTCCCACCCACAGCCTTGAAAATATGAAAAGTAGGCTCTAAAAAGGGTCTCTATAGGAAATTTGTAAAACCGGTCACAAACTCTCAGTTCAACCTTTCAAAAGCTTCATGCTAGGAGACAAAACCAAAGGCACTTTCCAAGTTCTCTTCTTTTCCTTTCTACCTCATTTGGGAGGATTTTCTGACTGACAAGCACCTATAAGCCAGAGATCTTACCTTGCCTTCTCTCAGTCTTGTTTTCTGACAAAGCAGCAGCGAGAGAACTAAGCTATCCGAAAGCTGGAGGCTTTGGGTCCCGCAACCTTGGCTCAGCAATGGCTGCAGGCTCTGGGTTATATTTGCTTGTGTTTGCATCTTACGCATTTTCCTAGCACTGGCCAATCATCGTCAACCTAGCCCTGGGCTTGACTTATTCAAACCAGAGGGAAAGCTTTATCTGTTCCTATTCAAAACAGCAAAAGCAAGAGCAGACTTTTAAAGGCTTCTTTTTAACTCTAGCTCCACGCCCCGATCTATTGATTTTTTTTAAAGTGCACAGCCTATCAATAATGCAGGAAGAGGGAAGATATGAAATTTGCCATATTGTAGCTATGAATGCATTATACTGATGACTGTCGACTGGCTGGATCTGCTTGCTATGTGCCTGGACATTCAGGACGGCAGGGGCCTGAGATGCTTCAGGGTCTTTCTCAGAGGAAAGGAGTCTAGGAGGGTCAGAAGGGCTTTGCTCCTTGGAGTCTTTACCAATCATCTTCAGTCCCATCAACATAGAAGTGCCTATGTGCCAGAAAGCCATGCTAGGCTCTGTATTTTGGGACTCCTGGTTTGGCTGCATTGGGTGAGCACAGGGGCATCCAATTCCCCGAGGGCTTCAGTTTGTGTCCAAGAGTCAATAGTCAATATATGCTTGTTAAGCACTTGGAGGTGTAAGAGTCGGCTCTGAAAGGGGCCATGAAGAGCTGTGTCCAACCTCTGTAACCCTGACCAAAAGCCCAGTGCTTGCTCTGCTGGGTGCTCGAGCTTAGTAACCATAGGACCATAAGGGAAGGACAGTGCCCACTGAGTGTCCACATGAGCAGTGGTAAGGTAAGAAAGCAGCTCCCATTCTTGGATAGGTTTTAAAACCAGCCTTTATTAACTGTAAGTAATACAAATATTCCAAAAATATAAACAGACACTTAATTGCGTCCTACATTTCAAGTTTTTGAATACAACAAATTTATCAAATCATGAAGCAAGGTAGTCAGAATCCCATAGCTCACAGTGGGAAGCAGACCCCTCCCCTCCAAATGGCATCTTGAAAGGGGAAATGGGCAAACATGGGGTAATTACAGGCAAAGAACCTCACCAGCCTAAGGGGAGGGCTACTCCAGGGGCAAGCAGGCCCCACACGGAAGGGGTGGGGCAGCTGGCCAGACCTGTGACCTCTTCTCCCTTGGTTATGTGCATTCACTGGTGATTTAAAAAAAAAGGAAAAGGGGGCTGGGGATGTAGCTCAGTCAGTAGAGTGCTTGCTTAGCATGTGTGAAGTCCTGGATTCCACCCCAGTACCACATAACAGGGTATGGTGGTGTACCTGTAATCCCAGCACTTAGGAGGTGGAGGCAGGATGATCAGAAATTCAAGATCACTGTTGACTATCTAATGAGTTCAAGCCCCAGCCTAGGATTCATGAGACCCTGGTCCTTAAAAAAAAGAGAAAGGTGAAAAGCTGACAAGGTCACTGAAGAACAGCTGTGGTTAAGTAGCTCAAAGGGAAAACCAGCTCATTATCCTCAGACACTTAGCCAGGCTGGTACACCGGGTGCAGAACAGCCATGTCTGGCACTGCCCTGCTAACGAGGCCTCTGACAGGGCAGGGTAGTGGATCACACAGGACCCATTTCCCAGGGAATACCTGCCTTGAAACTCCCATGCTTTGAGTACAAAGCAGCCTCTCTGAGCCATTGTCGATGGGGGTGGGGATGTGTGTACATTTACATAAAAATCTTTGGGAGGCAGGAGGGAGTGAAACAGAAGGTCCCTGGTTAAATGAAGGCAAATTCACTCAACCTCTCTAATTAGGGACCCATGGGCCTACAGTGTTCCCTCTACAATGTGCAGAGTAGAAACCCTTACCTGGCCCTTTACCAAACTGGTCCTGTGTCCAAAGCTCCCCCTATAAGAGGGACACGAACATCAGGCTTTTGATTTAGAAGCCCAATCAGAGAGACACACTGTGTCCCTGAAGAGGCACCTTAAAGAACTGAACCTGGCAGGCGGGCAGATTCCTGGCACGGCTTGAGTTGCTGCTGACACCAGGCCTGGTGGCCTACTGACTCCTGAAGACTAATCTGAAATTGGGAGGGCTGGTGGCAAGCCCTGTAACAGACTGGGATGAACTGGCTCCCTTCCAATCTTGCCCTCCTCTAAAAGTGGGTCTGCCTGATTCCTCAAGGAACATTTCGCAAGCATCGCTTGCCCCTAAGACACTGGAATTAGCAAGTGGACACAGGTAATGACCTTTGGCTGGCTCTGGTCCACAAGGGCAGATCCTGGTTAGATTTGGAAAGAGGGGAGTAGGGATGGCATCTCTGTAGAAAACTGCAGGTGCCAAGAGGGGTTCCGATGGCAGAGGCCAACAAAGCTGGGGCTTCATGCGGAAGCAGGGAAACTCCCATCATGCCACCCTGGGCTTTGGTCATGGATTACACTCCAATCACTTGCACATGCCTAACAGGAAAGGCGAGTAGGTATAGGCTCTTCCTCCACATTGAAAAGCATGGAGATCCAAAACAGGGCAGGAAGGGTCCTTGAAACTCAATCAGCTGTGGACCTCTTATTGCTTAGTTGGAAGTTTGGCTGGACCAAATGGTAGAAGACTTGGCCAAGGGCTAGCCTTGGGAGAAGGGCCCCTCCTGGGGGGTTAGGATGGCAGTGAGACTAGGGCCTAGACCTGAAGCCACAGCCTAACTCCCATGTTCCCTCAGGAGCTGGTGTTCTAGTACTGGGAGCCCTCTTCCCACCACCGCGGCAGGACCACACAGGCACCAGTGAATGATGCTAGGGCAATGGCATGAACTTGGGGGCTCTGTTCCACTCTGTGTCACCAAAGAGAAAGACAGTCTTAGAATAAGGAGGAAGGCTGCCCAATGCTAGAGGGATGCCAGCCAGCAGGTCAGCCAGCACTCAGAACAGAGTTCCAACACCAGGCTTTCTCGAAACTGGTTAGTTCCTGAGGTTCCACCTAGTGTGTAGAAACTAAAAAAATCTAATTGTATGAGTCCTGAGTGGGTGGTAGACCCAGGTGTTCTGACACCTGCCTCCAGGGAAGCAGAGTCAGGGATCCAAACTCCCTCCCACCCTAGAAAGAGGGATGAGAGTCCTACCCAGCCCTGGGGCAAGCCACGATTAAGGCAGTGATGCTGAGGCGGGGCTCCCTTTAAGGGAGCCCTTGTGCTCCCAATTACATCAGCACTTCCCCTTTTGTTTTCCACCCTGGGGAAACTTCCATTTTAAAACTAATTTTTAAAGCATTCACTGTGGAGACCCTTTGAAAGCAGACCTCCAGTGAGGGCCTCGCTCACTCCTGTTACCAGAGGCAGGAGGAGGAATGTACCCATTTGGCAAACCAAATGACAGCAACACCTACAACAGAAAAGCAGTTCTCTCAAAGTCCTGGAGAGGAAGAGCAACAGCCAGGAAAGATGGAGACTGTACCAGACAGGACTAGGCCAGGCCAGGCCCCCAGAGAAGATAGAACAGGAAAGAGCCTTGCTTAGGAGGAGGGGCTGGGGGAGCCTAGCAGCCCTTTCCAGCCTTTGGAGCTAATGTACTTGAGCCAGTACCAACAGAGAATCCCTGACCTGGAAAGCAGCTGAGTTGACACGAGTTATGCTTAGATTTATGTCTTCCCTGTACCCCAGCACCTCCCACATTCATTTCAAGCCCAGGACTGAGGCTTGGCCAGCAACAAACCAGGCCCACCACTCCACGTTTAGAAAGAGAATTTTAAAACAGTCAAAAGAAGAGAAATCAGTTATCTGTCCTCTTCCAGGGCAGGGAGAAGACCTTCTTCCCCATGGAAGCAAGACTATGGCTAGGTACTGAAGAAGGCTGGCCTGGGGGAGACACAGAAAGGGCCCATGGCAGGCACTCTGCTAGAGCCGAATGCCAGTCCTTGGGCCACAGGACCCGCTGGCAGCAAGAGTACTGGTTCTTTCAACACGTTCTCATCTTCTTGCACAGATTCTTGAGAAGCATCCTTCTTCACCAGTGTGCCTGCCACACATAGGTGAACACAAAGGAGACGGACACACATGTGTGCGTGCACACACACACACACATCAATAATAGTAATGCAACCCTGCTTTTCCAGCCACAGATCACTAGAACAACTGTGACACAAGCCTCTCTCTCTCTCTCTCTCTCTCTCTCTCTCTCTCTCTCTCTCTCTCCCTGGGAACCCAATTCAGGGTGCAGGCAGGTCCCAGGCCCCTTTTGGCCAGGTGCTCCAGCTTCAGCTCAGCTGGGTCAGTCAGGCGGATCAGAAAGGCACAGTGTAGCAAAGTCCCCTACTGGGATGGCCGCTTCTTGGAAGCAGGAGGGCTAAGGAGCCCGCAGCTGCCCAAGGCTGGTGTAGACATCATCTGCTCCGCTCAGCTCCTCAAAGATTGGGATCAGGTTCAGCAACTCGGTATCTGCCATGTCATCAAACCAGGACTGCACAGGTACCTGGGGTGGGGGAAAAGTGACATCAATCTGACTTTTCCTTTCCATGTCAGAGCCGCTGGAGGCTATTGGATCACACTGAGGTGGAGGACTCCTCTGGTGAAGCCCATAGTCCCAGCCCATAACCTCTCCCAGTCCCAGTCCTTATCTGGACCACTCACTGCATTCTCCGGGTGGAAGATGTAAGATGCAGGCGAGTTGTCGAGGATGAGGGTTTTCCTCAGGTCCCTTCCCAGGCGGCTGAGGTCCTTGACATAGCATCCCTGGTGGAACACACAGGACTCCCGGAACAGGCGGGCCCGGAACACTCCACACCGGTCCAGCAGGTCTGTTACAGGGTCAGCATACTGGGAGAAGAGAAGAGACCCTAGTTTGGATGCAGTGCTGGTGTCCTGTGGTATCCTGAGGCCCAGCAAATAGTTGCTGGATCCCTTTGGCTGCCACCCTACCCTGTTCTTTCCTCCCTTCATGTCGTCGGGTACCTTGGCCAGGCTGGCAGTGAAGAGAACACATTCAAAGAGCTCCCCCATTCGTCTCAGGAACTCATCAACGTAAGGCCTCTTGAGCACATATACCTGGGAGAAGCAGAGCAGCTTGTTGGCAAAAGATGGCAGCAGCATCCACCCGACACAGAGCATCAAACAAACATGGACGCCATGCCCAGCCCCTGCAAACAGCTGGCTGGAATCCTATGCTCTATCCAGGATAGCTCCGCCAGGTCACCAGGCTTCTGCTGGCTCAGCGAACCCAACCCTAACCCAGTTCATGAAGAAAAGCACATGCCATGTCCCGGAAGTCATCTCTGATTCCAATGGTGGACCATCAGCTGCCTCCAGAAACAAGTAATCAAGAATAGGCCTCATAGATGGAAACAGCCTATCCTGGATTACTTGAATCCAGCCACAGCCTCTATGGCAGCTTTCTCTGCTTGGCTCCAGCAGGACAGCCTGTGCAGGTAGGTTCCCATCTGGCAAGGACCTGGATACTTCCTCAAACCCATGTCCTCCTAGGGCTTCAGTGAATGGCACTGGAGAGCAGTGCCCACCTCCTGGGATTCTGTGTTTCTCATAAGGTTCTTTGGTACCCATCCTCCTGTAAGTCTGCATTCTCCTGCTTCCTGCCTTCAGCCTACACAAGTGTTTCTAGGCCCATTTTCTCAAAGCTCCTTTTGTCAACACCATTCCCAAGCACAGTGTGTGCCTGCTACAACTCCCTCTTAGCCCAAATCAGCCACCAACTCACTAGACCCCTCCCAGCTAGGCAGCAGGAATCCTCTGCTCCAGGCAGCCACAAATTACTCATCAGCCTGCTTCACAAACAAGCCCCTTCCTCTTCATGGTTGTTCATCAAGTGTGACCTCTCCTCCCCACTCTCTTCTCAAGCCCACACTGGGGAGGCAGCTCTCGTTCACTTTAATTTCATTCCTTTTTACAATTCATGCCCCTTCTTGTTAACGAGAAATTCCCTGTACGTATCAGCCTGTTTGAATACATGCCTTCATCTGTGCCCCAAGGATTCTGCACATCTCTATTTCCCCAACCAGACTGTAAGGGATGATGGGCCCAGCTAAGCACCTCAGCCTGTAAGGGGGCAGGGACTATGAAGACAACACACGCAAGTCTCAAATCCACTTTACTATGAGTAATTCTGTTCTCTGACCAGTCCCTGCAAACAAGTATCAGGCCTAGGAGGGCATGTGCACCAATGGTCCCTGACCCTCAGAACAACTGGCAGGCCTTCGGGACAAGGATTCTGGGTATGTGGTCTCTCACTGCCAATGAAACATGATCCTTAACTCCAGAGCCTGGTCTTGTTTAGACTTCAATGCTCTTTACTTTGACAGGTGCACACTGAGTACGTACTGGAGCAGAATCCAATGTAGGGACCCAAAGAAAGGGAAGTTAGGGAAGGTGTCACAGAGGAGAGGTTTGAATTGGGCAAATTCATTAGCTCGTCACAGCAGGTAGGCATGGGGGAGGGTAGGGAAGTCCTCTGAGGCAGAGAATAGTTACTCCTGGTTTCCCTGCCTATAACAGGCAGAGATACCACTTCTGAAGACAAAGAAAATCCTGACAGTGCTGTGCTATAAAATAGCAGTTTCGTCTACTTGGCAGGGATGATGAGAAGTGATGTTCTGATTACCGAAAACTACAAACAATTCTTGCAAACAGCCTAACTATAAAGAGGAAAAGGGGTGATGGCTAGATGTGGGGCCGAAAGCTTTTTTTTCAGATGAGAAAGTCTTTGTCAAATCACCAATAAAACAGGACACGCTGAAATTATAGAAAAGGTACTAGTTAACAGAACACAAACCCTGGGAGGGTTTGCAATGCAGCAGAAGGTAGATTTCCCACTTGGCTGAGTGTGGCCCGGCAGACAGCTCACCTGGTGAGTGGTCCCCTCAATCTCTACAGGCACTATGAAGTCAGCATTGTTGATTGGCTAGAAGGCAGAAGTTAATGACATCAGCATGGCAGCAGAGACAAGAAGCCCCCATCATAACCCTGGAGTGGGGATGGGAGCAGCCCATAAGTGGTTCGCAGCCTGCTCTGGCTTTCTCTACTCCCCAGCCCCCTACTGTATGCTATTTGCCAAATTCTACCTGAACTGAGTTTCTGGACTTATTCTGAGATAGGGTCTTACTACCAGGCTGGCCTTTAATTCCTGATCCTCCTGAGTGCTGGGCTTATAGGCATGCACCAACACGCCCAGCTTTTCCAAGACTTTGTTTTGTTTTGTTTTTGGAGACAGGGTCTCACTACGTAGCTCAAACTGTCCTGGAGCTTGCTGTGTTGCCTAGGCTGTCCTGGAACTTGTGATTTATCTGCCTCAACTTCCCAAGTCCAGGGATTACAGATGTGCCACCACACCCAATTTAAGCCTTTCTTGAGTTAACAAACATACTGCCAAGAAAAGTTAGACAAGGCCAAAGTTGATCCAACTATTCTCTTAACTTTGCCCTCTCTCTGGAGGTTCTCTGTGCTACATGCCTGGAGACAGATGTGGCCTGTAGATAATGACCTGGGAGTAAATGGTTCTTAACGTTCTTCAGTATGGCCACTAGATATCTGTGACTCCAGGGTGGCCTGTCCTCTCGCTCCTGTTACTTTGCTGTCTACCTGTAGACCATCTCATGGCACCTTGTTCGGTATACAGGCAAACTCAAGAGTAGGAGAGCTCCATGTGTTGATTTACCTTAAAGGAACTATGCACGAGGGTTTCATCCAGGTCAATGACCACGCAGATCCTTCCTTGATCTTGCTCTGTCACCTCTGGGAGCAGGCAGGTCCCAGGGATCTAAAATCAGAGCCAGGTTGCTGAGGCGTGCCCACCAAGAAGCAAGCCCAATCGTTCCCCTCAGCAGAACTCTAGGAACAGCCAGGCTGTCTGTGGAGACAGAATCACCAGCCCAGGACAGGCACCACTTAAAGGCAAAGAACAGAGGCGCAGGGCTGCGTTTATTCTTCTAGGGAGACTATTAAGTAACCCCTTGGTGGCAGCTAGGGCTGGCGTGGAATGGACAGCAGAGATGGGGAAAGGACATGTGGCCATCTCGTAGCTTTACAGGAGACCCTCAGCAAATACTTAGCACAAATAAACCGGTTTCCCAGGATAGGAAGGTGGGCAGGACAGGCAGGAGGAAGTGAGACTATCACTCTATCCTCCAGGCTAGCCAGGGTCTAGAGGGTCAGCCAGACTGACGTACCTGATAAAACTGGTACTGGAGACATTGGAGCAGATCCGACTGGGAGAGAGAAGGAAGGTGATGAGTGCCAATTCATCAATTCCTCCTGCCCTAGCCAAACCACTATTTCTGCCTCTCCAAGACCCAGCCACCTAGAACTCCTGGAATGACAAAGTGGCCTTTCTTAGGGTCTGGGAAGACAAGGGATGGCCAGAGCTTCCATTCTGTGTGAAGCCTGATAAAGGATGGACAAGATGGAGTCCTCGTTCTCAGCTGCCATGCCTCTCAACAAAGTGAGGAAGAGGAACTTGGAGGCCCATGCAGGGGCTCAAAGCTGAGCTCCTGACTGAAGCAGCTAACCTCCTGCTTAGTCCTTAAGCCCACCTTCTTTCTGAAAATGTATGTTTCCTCTTGCCTCCTTGGGAGGACACTGGCAGAGAGCACTGAGCCCACAGCATGAAGCATCCCTGGGGGTGCCCAAAATGTGAAGGGAGATGGAGAGCCTCTCCTTACTGTTTGACATCGTCAAAAATGTTGTAAGGGCCATGAGTGGTGGCAAACGCCTTTAATCTCAGCACCTGGGAGACAGAGGCAGGCAGACCTCTGTGAGTTCCAGGTCAGCCTGGTCTACATAGTGAGTTCCAGGCCAACTGGGACTACAGATAGACCCTGTCTCAAAAAGCCAAAAAAAAAAAAAAAAAAAGGTATGAAGAATACTAAGTGTTCTTAATGTAAATCTTGAAGAAAAGTTAAAATTCTGATACTTAGAAAAACCTACGGTTGGCATTTTAGTGTGTTTCCTTCAAGTATGGGTTAGCACTCCTTTTTTCCACGTTAGTATTATGATTTTACAATCTGTCTTTGGTTTAATAGTGCACCTAAATGCTTCTTCATGTTACTTCATGAGAATGCGCCATAAAAAGTAACTGCCTAGTAATACCATCGGGGTGCACTTTACCCAACCATCCCCCACTGGACAATGAAGGGATTCTGCCCCGATGCACACATCTTTAGCTTAGTTTTGAGAGCCAGGAAAAAGCAGCTAGACTTGGTTGTTTCAGAGAGAGACATCATTGGTATTTAGAGCAGAACAGTTATTTGTTTGTTGAGGGTGGGTTCCTTCCCCAAAATGTTAAATGAATCTTTTCATGTGAGAATAAAAAACACCCTACACGTTTGCAAATTCCTCATGGTGATACTGCTGCATGCTAGAAGGGTTATTAAGAACATGGCAGTTTTAAGTCCTTGGCCTCTGCAAGTTAAGTCACTTGGAAGGCAGCTTTGCAAAGTAGAGCACATAAACACAGGCCTCAGAACCAGAGATCTGAGTCCAATCCTGCCAATACCAATGATTAACTATGGCTCTTCAGGGAATTCACTCACGTCCCTGAGTCTGTCTCCCTATCTGCGAAGTGGCAATCTTTTTGTGGGGAATGCTGTGTGGGTCACAATAAATACATACAAGGTACCTTTTAGGGGCCATGGTGACCACAAGGATATCTAGATGGCTCACACCACAGATGGGAGTAACGGAAAGGAGATTGGACTTCTAAGGGAAAGACCTCTGGGCCAGGCCAGGATCTCCATGACCTCACACAAGGCCAGGATGCCACTAGCTGTGATCTCCCTCCCAGCTGGTATGGTACTACCCCATCCTGCTACCTTAGCAATGGTGTTGGTTTCCTCCTTGTATGCGGCGAGCTCAGTGGAAGAGTTTGACTGGCCAACATGCTGGGTACGGAAACAGCAGAAAAGGGCCTTGAAGATGTTCCGGCCACGCGGCTTCTTAGGAGAGGACTTGGAGAGTAGGCCTAGACAGGGAACAGCAGAGGCAGGGACATCAGTCTTTTTCAGCAGTCATGTGCCCACATCCCTCCACCAGAACACCATACATGCCTGCTGAACAGCCACACACACATGATGAAATGTGGATGCTTCCATCTTTCTCCCTTTAAATGGAAACAGGGATGCCACTCTCTGGAAATGGAGGACCTGAGCTATAGAGTGTTTGCTTTATTCTAGGGGCTACCCAAGGAGCATCTTTATGGGCTAGGCCCACAATCTTGGTTTTCTATGGTCTAGTAGAAGCACACTGTAAGATCCATCAAAATGAATTCATGAGGACCCAAGTTCTCTCTACACCAGTCTCCAGGAAGATGACTGATTCCAGACAAGAGGGTAAGCTAGTTCCTTTATAGCCAGTGAAGATGAGACTCAGTTTAATGTAATATTGATGCCCCTAGATTCTGGGTAAGTAGCAGCAGAACTCAGCCCCAATTACCTAAAAACTCCAAGCTAGAAATTCTTGAAAAATGAGCTGGTGAGATGGCTTAGTGGGTAAAGGTGCTTCCACCAAGCCCGATGCTCTGAATTCGATCCCTGGAACTATATGGGTGGAAGGAAAGAACTGATTTCTCCCAAGTTGCCCTCTGATCTTCACATGCATGCGTGCATTCATGCATGCATTCCCTCTCCCTCTCCCTCCCTCCCCACCCTTCTCAATACAGCTCTGAGGAAGGTGTGCTGACTGTTTATATCCTTGTCTCCTTTCCATGTTCCAGCCACTTTCCATAACACTTCATGTCTCCCCACCTCCACCCTATAGGCAGCCAAGTTGGGACACAGTGGGTTAAGTCCCTAGGCCATACATATCAAGCAGCCTTGTGTCCTAGAGCCAGACCTCTCTGCTTGTAGACTGTTGTACCTTGATCATCTGGACCCTGGAAATACAAAGCCATTTTAATGGGAAGCTTGGCAGGGCAGCCCCAAAAGATGAAATGATACAAAGTGAAGGGCATTACAGGACTGACTAGAAATGGGCTTCAGAACAGTCTCTGCAAGTTCCTTTCACTCCAGAAAACTGGTCTGGCAACTGTTGAATAGGCGTGGAAAGGTATACGGGAACGGAAGGGTACTGTGGCCAGGAGGTGGCGCTGCACAACCACTCATGGAATGGTCTCAGCCACAGGTCTCTCCTGGGACTCTCCCAGAGCCTGAGTGGGAGACAAGCATTAAAGCCCAAACCCAGGCAGCCCAGTTTAAAGCACAGGTCAAGTTACAGTGCAGCAAGTAAGTACTAGAAGTGCCGGTCTCTGTGGGGAAAGCAAAACAATGTGCCCTGTGCAGCTTCCCATAACTTCTTCCTAGAGGTGGGAATGAAGGGAAGGGGAAGGCAGATTGTAGGGCCCACCCTATCAGTTCAGCTCCTTCTGCTCAGTCCAGCCTGTGGGGTCCCTGTGGAGTAGGTGATGGCAGAGCCACACAATGACGGCGCTGCCTGAGAGAGACCCCAGGGGGAGAGAAAAAACCAACAGCTCCTAAGACCAAGGTGGGAGAAATGGCTGTTACACAGCAGTCAGTCTAGTGAGGTCAGTAGCACAGAGGGCACAGGACATCCTACCAGCACAGCCAGAGTGCTCTCTCCTCCTGGGTTTGGCCTAGGGTTACCCTTGACTCTGATCATTGAGAACCTTTCAGGAAATTACAGCCTTTCTAACATTTAGCCTGAAAATCTGGACATCACTTTTTAAATTTTTAGCTACTTTTTTAATATAATATTTTAAGTTATTCTTTGGAAATTTCACACATGCATACAATTAATTTTGATCATATTCACCCCCACTCTTCCCTCCACCTCCCGTGTCCATCCCCCTACTCCCTTCAAACTTTCATAACTTCATGGACGTCACTTTTTAAAAAATGCATCATGATTGGGAAGGTGTGTGTGTGTGTGTGTGTGTGTGTGTGTGTGGGTGTACGGGAGCATGCTATGGAATCAGGCCTCTCCTTCCACCTTCACATGGGTCTGGGGGTTGAACTCAGGTTGTCAGGCTTGAAGTACAGCAAGCACTTTTACCCAGAGCCATCTCTCCAGCCCCTTTGGGCATCCATTTCAATCTCTTGGCTGTACATGAAGAACTAAGATTTCTTAGGGCATTTTGTTGTGAAGTTCTGCTAAGGACATAGGCCAACGCTATCACAAACACCAAATTTGGAGCTGAACCCAGCACTGAATGGCAGCAGAAGGGTCTGTTCCTTGGATAACGCCCCGCCCCTTAGTAATAATCTATGCAGAAACTGGAGGGCAAGGGCGACTTCCCCACCTGCCTGTTGGCCCACATTAAATTCTAAGTTCAGGGACTCAGCAGATGCAGATACAAAGCTCCAAGAGCAAAGCTGAACCACCGCTTCCCTTTGGCTATGGTTTCTTCATGCAGAACTACAATCAGAGGCTTAACCCGAGCACAGAGCCTTTCTTAAAAGGCCACACAACCCAGGCCTTCCCCAAAGAGAGGCCACATCAGGAATGCACTCAACATCTTAGTGACAGGCTGTGAAGGCTGAGTGATCCTGAGAGGCAGGGGGTGAAAGGGACAGCTGGCCAGGGTCATGGAGAGGCCTAGGCTGTACCCACTGCAGGAGGCCCAACAGTCACAGGCACAGGGGCCTATTCAGGGAGCTTGAACTCTGCAGGGGATGAGAGTCTTCTCAAAAGCACAATGTGACCAACAGCCCCTGCATCTCAAGAGATCACAAATGTACTGACCTTGGGGGCAGGCTCTTGAAGCAAAATACCCCAGGCTCACAAGAGCACGGTCACCTCCGCCCTCCTTGTTTCACTCACGGGTCCTATTTCACTCTAACCTCCTCCATGCTGTCTGTCCTTCTTACATTTTTAAAAACTTTATTTTTTTATGTGCCTGAGTGTTTTGCCTGTATGTAAGTGCACTGTGTGCCTACAATGTCCACAGGGGCCCAAAGAGGTCATCAGATTCCCTGGAACTGGAGTTACAGATGGCTGTTAGCGGCCATGTAGGTGCTGGGAACCGAACCTTGGGTCCTCTGCAAGAGCAGCCAGTGCTCTTAACTGTGGAGCTATCTCTCCAGCCCCATCCTTCTTATTTTTTATTTTTATTTTTTGGTCTTTTTGAGACAGGGTCTCCCCATAGCCCCAGCTGGCCTGGAACGCACTATGTAGACCAGGCTGGCCTCGAACTCACAGAGATCTCTCTGTCTCTGCCTCCTAAGTGCTGGGATTAAAGGCATGTGCCACCACATCCAGCTCTTGTCCTTATTTTTATAAGGACAAGAAGGTGGTTTTAGCTTCCCCCAACCCTCAAAGCCAGCAGTGACCTCCCTTCATCATATATTCCAGAGTCTTTGGCATCTGTCTAGCAGGTGCTTAATAACTCTCACCAACTGAATGACTACAGGGGCCTTTAGGGCCTTTCAGTTCCACAGAGCTACAGACAGCTACAGAAGCCTCTGTTCATTTACCATGGCCCAGAGGCCTGGAAACAAAAAGCCTCTCTGAAAGGAGAAGGTGGCACTGAAGGAGCTGGGTACCTCAGGAAGGCCACTGAGACTTTCGGGCACGGCCATGTTTACAGAGCACCAGAGCTGTGCCAGGCCTACGTTAAGATACCTGACATTACTACCTCAATTTAATCCTCACTGAAAATGCATTTGTAGGTACTGCCTCCCCAACTAAAGCAGATAGGTTGAGCAACCTGCTGAGGGTCATGCAGGTAAGTATAATGACAGAGTTTGAACCCAGAGCCAAGGTTCTTAAAGCATCACCCAATAATCTGACAGTTTAAGACACAGTTTAAGACATCATGTGCTTGAACCCAGGTAGAGTACCTACCCAGGTAGGCTTGCGAGCACATACACGGTCTCTTCTTGGGTACTTTTGCTCTAGTCCTCTCTAGGAGGAGCTAGTAAATGATCAGCTTGGAGTCCAGTCCCCTACTTCCTTACATACTCCTGGACAGGCCATGAGAGGTGCAGGAGGTAACAGTACAAGGCCCTGCAATTCTATTCCATCCCAAGAGGGAGTTTAAGAGTGAAGGAGAACCATATACCCAAGTTCTTGATCCCTTCACTTGGACTAAAAACTTGTGTCAAAGAACCTTTTGACCACTCTTTTCAGCCAATACTCATCACTGTGTCTTGACAGACAGCTGCAGGTCAGCTCCCTCCCCTGAATCCATGTGTGGTGGGGAGGGGCACCAGCCTCCCCCAGAGAGGAACATTGGGCACAGGCATCAGGCCTGATGGCACCATTCATGGTACACTGTACATGGTATCCCTGACAGGGCAGGCAGGATTCCAGTGGGTGTCCCAGAGCTCTAGGACCAGCTGCTCTGCTTCCTCCACCGCCAGCTGTACCCTCTCTGTGGATCTAGCCTTCCTTTCCTGTCTGCTGTGCATTTGTCTCCCTGTCCCAAACCTCTGGATTAGGCTGGATGTCCAAAAAGACCAGCACAGACCCAATGGGGGAGCCAGTTCTGACCAAAAGGGCAGGAGGCTGAAGATGGGAAGCCAGCACCCCCACCCCTCCAATTCACCACTGCTAGGACTCCTACTGAGGCAGCAATGGGGGTGGGGGTGGGGCAAGAGCGATATCTCTCCACTTGGGCTGTCTGGATCCAGGTTCTGCCAGTTGCTGATTTAACCATGCAGCCTTAGTTTCCTCATCCATAAACTGGGATAACAGTGAGACCTTATTCAGGACTGAAGGTTAAACAAAACTCAGAATAAAGTACTGTGCAAACTCTAAAACTACAGGCTATGCTTGCTTTAGCTATCTAATTGGCAACAGTCTGGCCCTTACTTGTGAGCCACATTAGGGACCACTAATTGGGGGCATCATGGGTCTCATTCCAGGAGCCCAGTAACAGGGGATTAGGAGCCTCCCACCCCCATCATATGGCTGAAGGTCAAGAACATGAAGGAAGGGTGCCTGGGAACTCTCATCAAACAGGTTTCAAAGAATCAAAACCACTCCTACCTTCTTCCCAATCTATCA